ATTGCAGTTGCCCAAATTTCTATGAATAATTACACTATTGCTTGTTGTTCTTGCAATTTCTAGCTTGTGTTTAGCTATTCCTATTATAGGTTCTTGTATAGTATCAATTGTTTTTTTCAAGTGCTTTAATACTTGAAGCATATATACCAACTTTGGCACTATACATATATTGTTTATATATGACATCTGAGCACCTATTATCTTTTTGGTATTGAGTAGCCTTGTTGTAAAACACACCAATTCTTTGGCTCTTGTTTTCACTTTGCCTTCATTAAGCTTATTATTAAACCAAATTTCTAAAAATTTTGTTATTTTAGTTTTTTCTTCTTTAAAAATCTATTTGTTGTTCAGTCTAACCTTTCTGTTTTCTTTCGGTTTACTAGGATTCATTATTATGAGTTTTGATTTCTTTTCATTTATCTGAATGTTATTGAGTTTAAAGAAATCTTCAGCAATTTGTAGTGTATGCTCAATTTGCTCTTTATTACTTGCTATCCATGTTGTATCATCTGCAAATGCTACTACTGCTTGACATGATTTTATCTCTGTTACGTAGTTTAGTCTGTTGTCATTTGGAATTGTCACTACTGTTATATAACCTAGACCTACATCATTCTGTATTCTTTCTAATAGTAGATTGTAAAATATTCTTCATATTAGTGATGAGAATACTTCCCCTTGTTCTATTCCATCATTTATTACAAATATCTCTGTGTAGCCTCAGTGTGTAATTATTTTAGATTGTCTGTCTTGAAATAAATTTAATATCATTAAATTGTTTTTTCTAGTAGCTTAATTCTCTTTATTGCTTTCTTTAAAGCTATTAGTGATACTGAATCAAAAACTTTTTTCATATCTTGTAGAACTAACCATAGTTCATTATTGTTTTTTTTAGCATCTTCCATTATTGTATTTATAATGTGCACCAGCTCCTCAGTTGAGTTTCCTAGCAGTCTTGCAAAGTTTGACCTATTTAGTATATTTTTTTTGACAAGAATTTTTGTTGGTCTTTTAGTTAGGATTTTTGTTGTACACTTCCAAAAAGTCTCTAAAAGTACTATTGGTCTAACATTATCTAATATTATAAAATCTTATTTAAATTCTTAAAGAAATCAAAAAGTTTATAATTATTTAGATGAATACAGTATGAAATAATTTTTTTAAAAACATATAACAAAGTAGTAACTAATTGGAAAAAGACAAACAAAATTATTTTTATTTTTATTTATTTTTTAATATTAAACTAGCCTCTTTTGGGTTTAAGACTTTATTTAATAAATTAGGACATAACGACTCATGACTAAAGACTCAAAGAAGTTATTTTATATTAGAGAATACAATTAGTCACATGTATACTTTTGGTATCTAATTTACATAATCTGCCAATAATTCTATATTAGCTGTTATATCTACAATCCAACTAGAAGCATTGCCTATTTAAATTTTCTGTATTGCAATCCTTACTGTGTTATTAGATTATCTTCAATACAGATGTCAGTTAAGAAGGTTTAAATACTTTTACTTATTTCTCTTAGGACCTTATATCTTATTTTATGTAATATATCCTCAGAAGCATCATTACTAAAACCTTTTATGTTCTATATATAGTTGATTTAGTTTTATATAATATATTATAGTTACCTAATGTTTATAATTATAAGAGTTATTTGTTTAACTACTATATTATACTATTTCTACTCTTATAAAGTTCACCCAAATTCTAGTATCTATCTTTTCAACTTCTTCTCTTCATCTCTTTACTATCTAATTTAAAATCTGACAAACTCTCTAGACTTCTAATCCAGATAGTCCAGTGTAATATACCTTAGTATCTTTTTTCTTTAATGATTCCAGTAACCTGGTTGGTCATGTGCTCCTCTATACATCTTTCTATCTGGTTACATCTGCCTATTCCTTATTTAGGTTTTCTAAGCTTTCATTGGTCTAATAGCACTATCAAAAACTTGTGCTACTTCTTTACTTAGGAATTTCCAAGTAGACTTCCATTTCCTTGGTTTCTTGATCTTCTACATCTGGTGATCTTATTACAAAATTAATTTTATAAATAAAAAACAAAATAAAAACATATTAAAAAATGAAATGATCAACAGACTGTTATATGAGAAAAGGAAAGAAGATATTACAAATAATCAAAATCAAATTATAAAAAGATAAAAAAAAATATAAGAATTATAATTAGATTCAATTGTTGGTTTTATAAAAAAAAAAATATCATTTTTTTATAATTCTAATGATTAGCTTGGTATAATTCTTTAATTAGATTAATTTCTGATCAATGTACTGACCACTTCTAAACACTCATAGAAGCAACCGAAGGATGTTGAGTCAAAATTTAAACCAACTTTGTACAAAATATGTATACAAGAATCTTAATATAAAGATGATCAGCAAGGCTACCAAATTTAAAAAAAAATAAAAATAAATGTGAAAAAAAGATTTTTATTTTAACCTGTTTTAAAAAAGATATTACCGAATTTGCGATCCCGTACTGTATATAAAATTAACTGCATTTAAAAAAAAAAAACTAAAAAATTACTTATACTCTTATTAAACAGCTTTAACTTATGAAATTTAAATTAAAATATATAGTTAAATAATTTAAATTTTAGTATCTAATCGTGATGTTTATTAATATAAAACTACAACATTGTATATCATTTTTAAAATAATAAAATAACCTAAAGGCTATTTTTATTAAGAATTTCTATTTATTATGCATAATTTCTCTTCTGCACAAATTATTTACTTAAACTTTTGAAATTTTGAAATCAAAAAAAAAAAAACTTACAAACTAACTTATAGCAAAATCCACTATTTGTTCTAAGTACGCACATTCCTACTATGATTTACGTCTCAATCAAGCATTACATTTTAAAAGGGCCACAATAATTGAACATAAGTGATTCCTACACAATTTAAATACGAAGAATACATAAAGTAAAATATAACATAAATGGTAAGGAAGCCCTGAAAGGGTATTTCGTATTAAAAAGGTAGTATACAATAAATGATGAATGAGGGATATTTGAAAATTACCGCACAGATTTTTGATTAGGTGTCATTCGACATGCAAAATGATCATCATGATCTATAAAATTCAAATCTCAGTTTATACAATTAATCATTATACAACTGCCACTCATGATAATTTGTAGGATATGATTGGTGACTTGAGGTAGTATATATGGTAGTTGCAGGCGAGGATGATGGTAAGGGCGGTCGATTTCCCGCTGTTGTAGTTGGTGAAGGTGCAATTGGAATATAATGTCTTTGTGTTGAAGACTGCGATGCGGGAGAATTCATTTGATGTAAATGTTGTGGCATTGGTGTTACGATCGAATGAGTTCCTGTATTTGTTTGCTGTGATAGTTGCGAAGAACCGAAGGAATAAAAATTATTTTGATATGGAGTTGAAAATGGTGTATGTACGACTCCCGGAGTGTTTTGATTTACAACCACCACTCCATTTGATAAAGGAGACTGAGGTGGAGGTGGGGGAGGTGGGGTAATTGCAAGTAATCCTTGAATGCCAGGTAAATTTTCACAAGTCCCTTGAGGACCATTTATAGGTTTATTTCCGATACAGGGAACAGGTGGACGAATACTTGGAGATAAATCTTCAGAAGAACTGTGAAATTGTCGATAGCAATTTGTAGGATACTGGCATGTATTAATTTGTGGATACGGAAGCCTGTTGCTTGGAGTTTGCGCCATACTTAATGGATTATTTGTAGACATTGACATATTATGAGTTGATGAGGATGATGACATTGGTGCAAATGTTGGAGATGACATGGCAGTTTTTTGTGTTGAAGATGAAGAGAACTGCGTAGTAGAAGTATTTTTTTGATTAGAATTAAAAGTAGAAGATCCACTCATCAATGAGGTAGAACCGGAACTAGTAAACGGCTTTGATTCAGGAAAGGATGCAGCTTGTGCAAGGCTTCCTCCAAAAGATATGGGTGGGGGCGTTGAATTAGGCTTGATCCTTTTTGGATTCGGTGCGCTACGAGAAGAATCATTGCTAGTTTTCTTCAAAGGTTGTTTTACTGGAATAACTACTGATGAGTCATTGCAAGGTTCTACCAAAGTATCTCTGGTTATCTTCGTGTCACAATCGACATCCGTTAGCCTGTCTTTAGGTTCATCTGTCGCCGTCATTTTTTCATCTGTAATGTCGTCTAAGTGTGTGTCCACAGGCAGAATCGGTTTAGATGACGATATAATATCGATTGGTCCAGATTCCTTTTTATAAATAATAGGCTTTTGAGATGAACGTTCTGACAATGGAAACGTTGACATTGCAGGAATTTTCATATTTACATCGTTAAATGTGAAATCTTCACTAGTATTCTGTCGATTATTATCTGAAGATTTAGGATTAGTCCATCGAACTACCTCATCAACATTTTCTGACTTTTTATCACTTTTTTCCCTTTTTGCCATGCGTTGAGTAACCAACTGATAAAAAGAAATTATATGTAATTTCATGCCATATTTTAAAAGAATATGAAAACTTAATTCTATAACACATACCTTTTCTATTAATTTTTCAAGTTTTCTCCGCCTCAAGTGCACATCGTTTCCGTTATTAATACCATGGCTCTGACAGGTTGTCAAAGCATCATTTATACGCTTCATTATAAGTGTCTTGACATGATGTTTGGCGACAGCTAGAGATCTAAAATCCTGGTCTATAGATCTGTCAAACTATGATAGGCATAACTCTCGTTAGCATAATGAATAATCAATTTGAAGGTGTCAATATATGTTCTTACCTGAAGCACACTTTTTTTAAGAAAGTTCATAAGAAATGATTCATGTTGAGAATCGACAAATATTCGCTGCCCGATCCTATTATCACAATCTAAAACCTGACCAGAATAGGTTTGTTTAATCTCGCGGAGAACTGTCTGTTGCAATTGACAGGTAAATGACATGTTTATGATCGTAACTTCTAGCACATGACCGATATGGCTCAATAAAAAGATTACATTACTATACCATCAAAGCGTGATTCAATTGTTGCATGACATTTGAACACATGTACATTTGTCGGTTGACGGTAAATATAACTTTGTTGGCTTTTGAATCCTCTTTTTCTTTACCCTTCAAAACTCTACTGCTCTTTGACTTGACATTTTGAGATAAAGAAATGCTGTCATTATTATTAGCACTAGTTTCTACAGTCCGAAAAACACATAATGCATTTATAGATCTTTCTGAAATTAATCCTCTTATATTGATTGGAGGACAGGATATTGTAGACATTGATACAATTATACCCGCACTATCGGGGTACTAATAGGTAAACAAATATCAGCAATAAAGCATTTTAATTCAATAAAAACTATTCAAATATTAAGGTACCTGTGATTGTATTGACTGTTGTTTTATTATATCATATTGCGTGGGAATAGTATTGGAATTTGAATCAAGATTACTATCACAGAAAAAGTTGCATAAAATTAATTTACCAATTTTAATTTTATCACTAATAGGTTGTAAATGAAACAAACCTTCGATACCAGCCTATAAACTTAAGTCCCATTTTTTTGAATGTATTTATCGCATCCTCACGAGCTTGATCAACTTCTTGTACAGTATCGGTCAGCAACGAAGTGACAACTCTGAATTACATAGATCATAAATTATGAGATTATTATCCGGATATTGCTGCGCCTTAATGTGGTGACACTGAGTCGTAATACCTTTCAGATGCAACGAATTGACTAACATGACAAACAATAGTGTTGTCCAATCGATCTACGTCACATGTTCCACCAAGATAACCAAGGACTTCATGCTTAGAGTCAGCATATGAACACTCCAGAAGAGCCAGAAGTATTGACTCATCAATAGATAAACGAAAGTTACTGTGAAAAATAAATAAAATAACAATATATTACATATAGAATATATAGTTAGCATTTAAAATAAACGTGAACCCTTCCATCTTGAAAGAAAGGAATTTTGTGTTTCTACGGTATAACAAATACGGCAGTGGCAATGTTTCTGCTGACCACTCACAATGTAATTGGGAAGTGACTTGCTTACCCAACTGGGTCGTCATTTTTTAAAGTTTCGTTCCTCGAATTTCGCATGTTATTTTGTCCAAGAAATTTAAGTAAAGTGAAGTATAAATGGCGATCTTGAACACCGATCGTAGGTTTGTTGACAAGATCGTTTGAAAAGTAAGGGAGTTTTTGGAAATATGATAGAAGTGTTTAGCAGCTTTACGGTAAAGTGCACACCGGTATATCAGTTATGTTATTTCTACCTCTGTTTATATAGTACGTACGTACTTGGCCGTTTGGGGCGCTTGATCCCTTAGGGTAGGACAATTTGCCAATGGTTTCACCTGGTGTTTGAACGGTTTAAAACTGATAAATCAGGGGGTTTTGCATTTCCACCAATTATATTTCAGTGATCACGTATATGCAATATCTATAAAAAAATTCATATAACTAATCTGACGTTCACAAATTAATAAGCAATCGTAGTTTTTAAGTTTCTAAAATTAAATTTAAAAATTGTCAACAGCAATTATTTGTCATGATTCATAATGTGCTATAATTTACCGTAAATTAAATTTTTCATTCGGATGAAAATAAAAAATAACTTAAAAGAAATCACAATTCTTTCTTTTATTAAAAAATATGGATTTTTAATGAAAGTAATTCCATCATTACTAAACACTATCACTATATATATATTTATAGATAACCAACACGATAGACAAGATAAAAAAGAAACCTTTGCTAGAGAAATAGATATACTACATAACAAATTCAGCTTCACTCCAAAAGGTGAAATTGGAATGTGCGTGAACGTATAGAATGCAGAGTTTTCTTTTTTTTTTTAGAAAAAAAAAAAAAAAAAAAAAAATTTAATTAAAACTATAGTCACAGAAAGAAACACCATTGCCTTTCAATAAAGGTTTGAGAGTTAACTTTTGATAAGGTGTAGATACTGGATCGAAATAATAACCTAAAATGGTAAAAATAATATATCAGAATAATACTCACACAAGTTTAAAAAGAGCAGATTCCTTATACCTTCAATCGTTCCGTCACTTCTCCTGATACAGATATAATAAAACCCTGCAATAGTTAACCCACTTTCTTGAGCAGTCACATTAACAAAGTAATGCTCTGATAACCAACAAAAAAACCATTCCAATTATTGGTATGTTTCAATAAAATTAATAAATTAATGTAACTATAGTAAAATTAATACAATATGTACCTTTCCATCTCATAAATATATATTTTTGACACGCTTCTTGAAACCACTCTTTGGTAGGTGTCCCCCTGATTATACTATAAAAATAATGTATTTATTAATACAGACAAGTCATTGATGAATTTATAATATTACAAATCCTAATCAAAAGTGGTACCTTCGAACATCCATTTGACGAAAAGCATCAAACTTTTTCCAATGTTGAAGATCAATATCGGGAGTTGAATTCCATTTATCCGTCCAAAGTGAATGGTTGACAAAATCAATCATCTCACCTTCCCAATATGTGACAACAGTGTTCGAGCTGTTTGGTACATTTAAAGCCTCCATTAATCCAATTGCAGTACCAGTTTTGTAATTTACATAATGAACAGTCTATAATCATTCATTCAAAGGACGAAAATTAACCAATTTATTAAACTATAGGCTGGAATTAATCTTTTGAAATATAATAATATTTTTAATGGCTATCAATACAATACCACTTTGACTTCCCACTCCTCATCCCTTTGTGAAGGTTGTTGTGTATTCATTAAATTTTGTGTTCCTGAAAAGGTCATCCCAGCACGTAAGAAACTAGACTCTGGTAACCGAAATTGTCCCAATTCCTTTGAACCTGCACCATTAATACTTTCTAAACCGTGCTCTTTATTATGTTTTACGTGCTGCGTAAGGAAAGAAGGAGTAATGGCGTTTGTCCTTCGCAATAACCGCGAATTTAGTGGTGAGAATCCACGAATACGTTGTGACGATGATCTACGGTGGTGACGAGTAGTGTAAGGGTCAATAAGGCGTTGAAAGGCATGTCCAGTTGCTGGTGAAATATGCGGACGTTGCTCTTCGTCTTCAGAAGTGTATTCCCCGTCTAAATCCATATTTGTTGTGTTGAAATCACTATTATTACGACGGTTTGACAGATCTTCAATAGTGTCGTTAGCGGCCTCTAAATCTTCGTCGTGCGCATTGTTTTCTTCCAAATCACTGTCGAGATCGGGTGGTGACTCCGAGGCATAATAAATTTCTGTTTCAGAATCATTTGCAGCAAACATAGTGTCGATGTTTTGGACTATAAAATTTTATGCAAAAACGGATGAAGAAACGTAACTTTAAAATTTTAATTTGCTTTTCGATAGGTTGCGAAAACTTTCAAGAGGGTAATAATGTATTATATGGTTGTACATGTATCCTTCGAAGTGCAGTGGTGCACCTTTTTAAACTTGTGAGAACTGAAAACTTACGTTTTACTTTTTTAGAATCTATGAATCATATGACATACAAATTCAGAGGTATGTAATAGTAAATCGGCAACTGATGAGACCTTTTATGGAACTTTTATATTTATTACGCTACCCAAAACTAATGAAAAATTGTGTTAATTTTATTGGCGGAGAAATTCTTCGACGCATACCTAAGCCTCAATGCTAGTCTAATCGATATATATATAGTTTTCTTGCGTGTTGTACTTTAAATAAAAAAATATCCGCTTCTCTGTTTGTTTGTCGAATAATAATAATCCTTGATTACGTTATCTAATCCGCTTTTTATGTATTAAATAATTATCATTATCCTCTGGTCAACTCTATCTACGTAACTTTTTTCATGTACCGTACAGCACTGACTAAAATATCCACCCTATGTATAATATCCCTTCCCATGTATTGAAAGGTTCCCTCTAAAATATCTGGATATGGCCATTTACACTATGTACCCAGTACATATATGAATACATATTTTTATTCAACCAAGGTGTCCCAGTTGTACTTCTCGAGTAAAATATCAAACAAAATGGTCTATTTATAAAATAACGGGACGTCCGGACGTGTTCGCCGTCCCAGACAATTAAAATTATAATAAGAGTAGCCTTGTTAGCCAATCAGATCATCACGGACATGGGACATTGTCTGGGACATGGATCATCGTCTGACCAGCAAGGGATAAGTCAGTGGGGTATCCTTATGTCAAGAAAATCCTGAGCTACTATCAAAAAAATATGGGTCGTAGTAGAGGCCTGCGTTGGGTCCCGCAGCCCGGCCCGGCCCGCAAATTTTTGCGGGCCGGGCCGGTATTTTGCAAGGAAGGTCTTTTAGTCAGCGCACTACTACGGTATTGAAAAACTTTTGCAACACATTTTCGACCAATGTTAATAAAATCATCTTAAACCAGTCAACAAATCCTTGGCCATATCTAGCTTTTTAATATCGACACCTACTCGCGTATTATGTTTATTATGAAAGTTTATTTTATATCTGGAGCCT